TAGCACAGAAGGTGTAGTGCGCTCAATCCTAGCCAAAAGGCCGAGAAACTATTTTGTTTTGTGTTAATGAGAGGCAGCATGTGCACATGCACGAGAGAGAAAACGAAAAAGAGAGACATCCTTAACAAAGTCTCACCATGCGTGAGCCCCTTCCAACAGTGCTCCAGTTCGTCAGGATCTTGGGCACACGCACACCCAGCGTGTTGTCAGATTGACTTGGGACCTGAACTTGGGCCAGCCATGTGACTCCCAGCTCTGTGGTTTAGTCTGCTATCACCTGCACCACCAAGGCTGGACTCCTTAGAACAAGATACAGAAAAACCCTGTTCAAATCTGTGTCCTTGGGATAGACTAGTCCAAAAGTGGGGAGACTTGCCAAAAGAAAAAAAAAAACTAGTCCAAAAGTGGGGAGACTTGCCAAAAGCAAAAAAAAAAAAAAAAATTTCACATAATTCACCCCACTTTCCTTAGAAATCTCTGCCACTTTTCCCAAACCATCTCTCTTCTCCTTCTCTTTCTCACACCCTCCCCTCTGCGCTTCCTTCTTCACAGCAAATAGTGAGGAGGATACGGTGGACTCCCAAGGGAGCTCTAGTCACCAGGCCAGGCAGGATCCATGCCCATTCCTCCCCAGGTAGACTGGAACTTGGTAGCCCCTGGAGCTCAGGAAGCCAGACAAGAAAGATTTGTTTGAGCCCCCACTATACCAGGCATTGTGCTCCGGGAATTCGCTGCTCTGTGTGATGTAACTGATGCACTACTGCAAGGCAGCCTTTACTAGCTCCTCTTGCCCATGAGGGACACCAAGCCCTGACAGGCAGAGTGGCTTTCAACCAAGGCCAGTCATCTGTATTAAAGAAGAACAGCCCAGTGCTCCACCTCTGTCCAGACCATGCTGAGCTTCCTCTGCTCCAAGACATGGCCAAGGGAGAGGAAGAGCAGACAGAGTGGTCACCCAGAGAGGTGGTGTCTCTCTGAGAGGGCTCAGGAGGGACAGTGGGTCCATGGGAAAGGATGCCTAGGGCTGACACACAGGTGGTGCTTAAGCGATACCATTGAATGAATGCTGCCTGTTAAAAGAAGGTGTCAAGACCTATTGATTCACTGATTCCACAAGCATCACCTGAGTGCCTCCTTCTCATTTATTCATGAGTCAATCAGATTTGTAATTTATTGAGTACTATACTGTGCGTCAGGCACTATTCTAGTTCCCGGGCATAGAAGGAATGGGACACACCATGGCACAGCAGTAAAACACAATGCTCTGTGAGGCTGGCCCACATGGAATGGTCCTCCATGATTGCTCACATTCAGAGATCTTCCTGAGAATACTGAGTCTGCACACACCTGCGACAGAGTGCAGTCTGAGATGGGGATAGGTCACGGCATGAAGATCCTGATGGGAGTTCTCTCTCTCTCTCTCTCTCTCTCTGGAAAACATATACTGTTTAAAATATATTATTTACTTACACTTAATTATTGCACACCTTTACAATATGCAGTATGGGTTTTCAAAGCATAGATGCATTACATGTCAGGCAAGTCCAAAATATTACAGTGTGCAGAAACTTTTCATTCCTGTGTCTGTTAATTTTTTTTTTCCTGAACCCTTCTCTCTAGCCTCTAGCTGCCCACCCCTTCCTATACAATCTCTGGGATCTACACTCGCTCTCTGCGATAGTATACTTTAATAAAAGAAGAAGGAACAACCAAATTTTCTGCCTTCATGGAGCTTACATTCTAGCATAAGAAGACTGAAAAAGGAATATACATAAATTCAGACATGCAAAAAGAGCATTTCAGAGGGATCAGCAGTTGGCATAATGGTTATGTCGCTGGACTCCCATGTAGTGGACCACAGTTCACGTCCTGGACCCGGTGGCTTAAACTCATGCCAGGCTGTGTGCAGGCATGCCCAAGATCCCAGGAGGAGAATGGAGGAGAAGGGATTATGGCATGACCATTACACCTGGGGGGTGATTTCTTGCTTTCTGTCTCTCTGTCTCTGTCTTCTGGAGAGCGCACGTGCCCTATAGCAAAAAAAAAAAACCCACTCTATAATTTCAGATAGTAAAACTTGTTACAATGGTAAGATAGTGACAAGTAAGGGACAGGTGTCTTCAGCTATGTTGGTCAGAGAAGTCACTCTATGAAGAAGAAATTGAGATAAGACCTGGCTGAAGAGAAAGGAATGGCATTCCAGGAAGGCAGGGCAGTAGGTGCAAAGGCCCCATGACAGAAGTAGATCACTGCGTCCGAAGGACAGAGTTCATTCACTGAAATACGGTGGACGAGGGGAAGAAGGTAAGTGATGGGGAAAGGAATGAGACAGCATGCTTCCTACTGCTGCACACTGTGCTAGCAGCGTGAGGAGTGCTTTACCGAGACACTAAGATGGCAAAATGCGCAAGACTTAATGAGTGGAATGTGAGGCAACAGAGTGACACAGAGCAGGGAAATGCCAGGACATAGCCAGGTTCCTCTAACCAACAGTCTTAGTTTATTACTGTACCACTAGCAGAAATACTTGGGACTGAATGATTTATAAAGAAAGGGGTTTTTGTTCAGCTCACAGTTTGGAAGCCCAAGGTCCAGGAGCCAACTAGTGATAAAGCTACAACACAGCAAGAACAGGATCTTCAGTAAAATGTTCTGGTCCGTATCCAGGTGGCCTCTGCCTGCCTCATTTCCTTTCTTTCTAAACCTACCAGGACACACACATGGGGGCTGCTCTATCTAATTTCCTCCCACCTTTCAATGCCATAATTGGATCGAGTTTTCCCTTAATACCTTTACAATACAATCAAGTCCCAACCCTTGAGGTCTGGGGTGCAGTCAAACCATAGCCCCAACCTGAGCATTTCAATTAGGAATGGGGCTCCTCTGGCTTCCACTTCCAAGTGGACCTAGACATTCCTTCGCCATTACCCCAGATGACGCTTCCCTGGCTTTGATCAAGGGCACTCTCCCCTGGATTCTATACTTCTCAATCTCTCCCTACTACTGCTCAACCACCCAGCCCTATCTTCCAGAATCCTTTGTCCAGGCCTGACTCCTGCCCAACCCGCTCTTGATGGGCTCTGAGGACTAGCCCAGAACCTCTAAGTCCTTCTAACAATTCTCTGGTTCCAAAGCCTCACCCCCACCTACTCCCTGGCTCATTTTTCAAGTGGCTGTGGATCCCAGTAGACTAATCAGGCAACGCAGGCAACGCAGACAACGGAAGTCTGAAGTCAAGGTGAAGCAGAGGGCCTGAATTATTCCAAGATGGACAGGTCACAGATTTCTAGCCAGATGACCTGTAACAGCCACCCCTGTGCAAAGTACAATGGCTGAGTGCACACATGGAGTCCTCTGGATGCTCCTCCAAGGAACTCTTTTCTTATCTGTAGAGTGCATATAATAATGGAGCCTACACCATCATTATTGTTCTAGGGTCTAAATTAGGGAATGCATGGCAAACGGTAGGCACACAGTGTTTGCTCTAATATTTAAAAAGAGAGCCACCTCTCCCTTCTTCATAGATCCATTAGTCATTGTCACCCCTGCTTTCAGCAAGATGCTCCTCCACTGTTCACTTATATGAGAAGCTCTCAGATTTTTCTTAAGTTTATTTATTTCTTGCAAAGTGAGAGAGACAGAAAGATAGCATCCCCAACAGGGTCTTGATCCCACAATCCACCCTCAGCATCAGGCAGCCCCAGATCACAGGCACAGGCATGACCGGCACACTCAGGGAGGTCTCAGGATGATGAACATGTCCACGTGGATCAGCCTCAGAGGGCACGGCATTTTACCGCTGTGCCTCCTCACAGCCCGGCTCTCAAGTTTGATCACCCCTTGACCAGACCAGCAGTGGAAGGACACTGACCTGCCTCACCAGTCACGGGTGCTCAGTCACACCTCTGGTATCTGCTGCCCCTAGGGTACTCTCAGATGGCAGGTCAGTTGCAGAGTAGGATAAGGGGGAGAGGGTGTCCAACCTCTTCTCCCTTCCAGTCTCTCTACCATGCCTCAACCAACAGTACAGTACGTGCAGCATTCTTCAAAGCCTTTCCAAAAGAGTCCACAATCTGAATTTGCAGCTCAGCCTGCTTGTAGGTCACCCTTATTACCTCCATTGCTATTCTCACCCCCGTATCTACTGTAATTCCGAGACTCTGTCCTACTTTCTCAGATATGTAAGTCCTAGGTGATCTGAGACACTGAGCTTCAGGTTAATGAGGGACAGTACTGCCTTCTTCTGAGCTTCCTCCATCCTTTCAAACAGTGCTGCCTGAAAGCCACTAGTGCCCCTAGCAGTGGTGGCTTGTGCAGGGCACAATCACTCCCTTCCTCAGAGTGCAACAGCACCATCACTATCAGCAGCACCTGTACCTCCCACCACAAGAGGGCACTGGAGAGCAAGACGAAAGACAAAGCTAAGTCCCTGGTGGCGGAAGTGTGTTAGCAGTCACCAACTGGAGGGCCAAAGCAAAATAGCGGCCACCTGGAATCAGAGCCACAGAAAATAAGTGGTGCTCCGAGGACCTGCCCAAATAAGCCAGAGGCACAAAGCCCAGCTAGAGTTGTAAGATAAAATATAGAACACCCAGTCAAATGTGAATTTGGATATCCAACAAATAGCATTTTAATGTAAGTGTGTCCCATGCAATTTGTGGGACATGCAGTATTTGGGACATACTAATACTTTCAATTATTTGTTATGTAGTCAAAATTTAAATTTAACTAAGGCTTCCTGTTTTACTGCTGTTTGTTTGATATTTATTTGTTTTGCGAAATCTGGCAACCCTAGACCCAAACTCTGCCAGATATGGGTGAAAAAGGTGCCAATGCCCCCTGCCCCAGGCCAGCAAGAATAGAGGCAATCCTTCTGTGGTTAGCTTTTTAGAGACCACCTGAAGCCCAGCCCAGGTGGACAGGTAAGGCGAGGAAACACTGAGATGCTTTGCTCCAACACAAGCACCTGCAAACACACTGACAGCCGAGAACTGCATTCTTATTAAACTAGACTTTATTATTTGACTTGGGTCCCCAAGCCTGGGTCAGGGGCCAGACTACATTTCCCAGCCTGCTGTGCGTGGTCTGATCCATCCAGAGAAGATCCTAGTAATCACAGCCATCCACCCAGTCGCTGAGGTCTTTGCCCTGGCAGTTGTGCCTCCAGGCCTCCCTGGGGATGGAGAACAGGGAGAAGAGACTACGTCAGCTGCAGACCCCAATCGATGTTCAAAATAGAACAAAAGGAAGACAGTGGGCTATAAACTCGGAGGGAGGGAAGGCAAGAGGCTCACAAGGGGAGAGGAAGAACTAAACTTGTCAACAAGCAAGGAATCCCCTAGAAGAATTTTTTAAGGAAGAAAATGACCATTAAAAAATAATTTACCCAGCCTCCTTATTTTACCACTAGAGACACAGACTCAGACTCAGATGTCCAAGTTCACCCAGAAGTCAGTGGCAAAGGCCTGCCCTGAAGCCTGGGGTCCCTCCGCCATGCTCTTTTCTCTGCAGCTCCTGACGGCACCTTCGATAGGTGCAGCCCTTGACAATTTATGTGGCACTGTCACAGCCTTCACCCATCTATCACCATCCCCTCTCCCATCCCCAGAAGCCCTACAAAGTGGATTGGGCAGATAATATAGTCCCTATTTTGTAAGTAAAACATTTATGGGACCAGCACTTAGTGTAATGGCTATGTCGTTGGACTCCCATATAGTCAACCGCGGTTTGTGTCCCGGACTCGGTGGCTTAAACTCACGCCGGGCGCATGTGCGTGCGTGCCCAAGACCCCGAGAGGAGAATGGAGGAGAAGGGATTACAGCATGACCATGCCCTCTGGGGGGTGATAACTCACTTTCTGTCTCTCTGTCTCTCTCTCTCTGTCTGTCTGGCAAGCACACACTCCCTATAGCAAAAACCTCTTCAAAGAAAAAAAAATTATGATAATAGGCAAAAGAACCCACTGAGCTTCACGACCTCTAGGTGAAAGAACGTCACCCACATCTAGTCCTCGTTGGCCGCTAATCTGGGTCTCTCAATTGTTGGTTAGTACAGTTTACAGGCCCTTTCAGGATCATTCCTTGTTCCAGCTCACAGCAGACATGATGAAGAAGATCACCAAGATCATGGGGTCCTGGGTCCCAAGTTTCCAGGGACCCCAAGCTCTGATAACTAGTGTCTTCACTGTCAAAATCCCCATGGCCAAGAAAACCCCTATAGATCTATTGTATCAACCAAGAGTGGCCATTTGGGATGTTGATCTCTTCCACTGGACTGTGAGATCCTTGAGGACAAAGGCAGGTCTCACCTATCTCTGAAGCCCAGCACCCAGAACAGAGCCTGGCACACGGGAGTCCTGAATGCAAGGGTGTGGAAGGAACACATACTACTCTTTCCAGATTCCGCCCCTCCCTGCTGGTCTCTCATCCAGAAGTGTGAGTCAAAGGAAGGTTGCAGACTCTAAAAAAGTAAAACTCCTGTCAAAAGAGACTGGGGCGCTGCAGGGCAGAGACTCAGAGGCCCCTATGTGAGCCCGTGATCTGGCCCGAAGCCCCACACAATGTTCTTCCCATGCCCTTGTCTTTGAGGATGGCTTGTTGGAAAAGAGGTGGGAAAGAGAAGGCTGAAAGGTGAAGCTCCAGAGCCCTCACCCTTGCCTCAGGCAGAAAACCTCTTCTTTGATCCTCTGTACATCTTGGGCCTTTGTATAAAATTTACTTTCTACATAAAAGATGCCATAGTTTAAAAAAGAGAGAATAACCTTCTTAGAGCCTGGACTGGATGACCTTTGACAGACATTCCAACACAGGCCTCCTGGAAAAGCCGGGCTCGGCTGTGTAACCACGTGACCACTAATAACTTGCTCATCTCCCTGAAACTCAGCCTGTCGTCTGTAAATACTTCAACGGCATACTGCCCTGCCACTGAGAGCATTGGAGGGTTGTGAGGATTCGAAGATGGTGCCTGGGATAAAGAGGGTGCTCAGAAAAGGCGGGGGCCCTGCGGCTGTCCTGACTGCACCACCCGAGGGGGCTCCAGCCTGTTACCTACCAGGAGCCCAGTCCTTGGGGCTCTTGGGCTATCTTCATGGCACAGATAACAGTATCCTTGAGGTTAGAGCTCAGCAAGTCTGGGGGAAGCAGAGAAATTCACGCAATGAAGAGCAGGGACCAGAGGTGGGCACTCAGAGTGTCCCTCCTCTCTCACACACACACATGCACACTCACGTACATGTCTCCTGCCACCCTAAATCCAATCCTTTCTCTGAGCCGGTCAAGAAATGCAGGTATCACTCTCCCCCTCCCCCCCTCTGTTAGAAACCATCCTCCTCCATTCCTATAGCTATCTGGGAGCCTACATCAGACTCATGGAGGGCCCACTCTCATCTTGCCCATCACCCTCTTCTTGGGTGGCCCAGGAGATGGTGAGGGATCCTCTGAGATAAAAACAGGGGGAACAAACTACACAGAGGAAGAATGAGGCTGGTGGAGCCCAGCCCAGCAGGCGTGGCCCAGGGCAGCCTACCAGAGCAGTACATGTGGCACAGGTTGGAGGTGTTCGGGGTAAGGTTTTTGCACCACTTCCGACTGCTGATCTGGAAGATGCCATTGTTGGTGCTCCCGTCGGCCTCGTGGTCCACAGCAGCTGTGTTGAAGCCACTTGTGAAGTAAGCAAGGCAGATCCCTGTAGAGGGCAGAGCACAGGCCTGTGGGTCTGATGGGTAGGGTCACTCCAGACCAGAGTGTTCACAGTGCAGAGTTCACACATTGGTGCCACTGACGATCCGGGCCTTCAGGCAATCGGGGCAAGGGTCCACCTATGTTCCAGATGGATCAATTGAGACTCCGAGGGACAAAGTGACTTACCCACGGTTACTCACCAGAGAGCAGAGATCAGAACTGGCCCTCAGGCCTCCTGACTCTAAGGCTAACAATCTTCTCACTTTCTCACTGTTTATAGCACATAGTAAAGCCAAATATGTTTGCTGAATGAATTAACAAGAGCTAAATCTTTTTTTTTTCTTTTTTGTAGAGAGGTTTTTGCTATAAGGTATGTGTGCTTGCGGAGAGACAGAGAGACAGAAAGTAAGAAATCACCCCCCAGGGGGGGATGGCCATGCCACAGTCCCTCCTCCTCCATTCTCCTCTCGCAATCTTGAGCATGCACGCACATCCGCCCAGCATGAGTTCTGTTTTAAGCCACGGGGTCTGAGATTCAAACCACAGTCAACAACGTGGGAGTCTAGCAATGTACTCATTACACTATCTGCTGGTCCCTACAAGGGCTAAATCTTTAGGGACAAGATTAGGAAGACACAGGTGCGATCTACATATGAGGCTGAAAAGAAAAAAATCGTCCAGATGTGACTGTACTCCACAGATGGCCTCCCGAAAATGCCACCAGCTTGAAAAGAGTGGTACGACTGATCTGCTCCTTTTGACTTTCTAAATTTCAGTGAGTGTCCAATCCTGAGAGTTGTGATTAATTTTAGGGTACTAAAGCTGCTCTTTTCCTTTGACTCCCAACTTAACCAGCAGGGAAAAGGAAAGGGTGCCTTTGCCTGTCTGCCATGGGTTCCACTCACTGCTAGGTGTTCTCTGTCATCTCCCAGAATCCTCATTTTACAGACGAGCACTAAGGCTCTGGAGTTTCCAAGGCCACATCCCTTGAGTGAGGAGGGAAGCAGGGAGAGGAGGCTGGAGGGCAGCCAGAAAGAGGTTCTCACAGTCAGCCAGGCTGTATCCCCGGTATCCATCCAGACCGAAGTCCTGCAGCACTCTGGCCAGCTCACAGCGACTGTACACCTTGGCCTCGCTGGCAGCAAGCAGGCAGCTGAGCAGAGAACCCAGGACCAGCAACATGATCCTGGGTGGACACAGCCGCCTTCCGGGAGCCCAACTCCTGGCTTCCATGTGGGTGGCAGAGGTGGAGCGACCCCACTCTGGCTCAGGGGCAGAGCGTCGGGATGGCAGGCAGCTCACCAGCCCCAGAGGTGCACTCACAGTTACTCCTGGAAAGAAGAAGAAATAGGGCCTGAGTGTTCCCCCCAGGAGCTGGGGTTGGCAGAACACACAACTCCAAAGGTACAAATCAGCTTCCTTGCATCCCAGTGAAGCACCAGCCATACCCTGAGACCCCGAGAAGGGCTTCCCCAAGGCTAGCCCCCTCCTTCCTTACTCTGCACTACACCACCCTGGCCTGGCAGCTGAGCAAGAGGGCTGACGGGGAAGGAAACTAACATGTTTTGAGCTCCATACTATATGCTAAGCATCAGTTATTCTTTTTTTTTCTTTTTTTTTTGAGAGATTTTCATGGTAGGGCACGTGCGCTTGCCAGACAGACAGAGAGCGACATAGAGACAGAAAGCGAGAAAT